CCCCCCCCCGCCGGCCTGACTGGGGCGGATGGCTGGGCAAGCCCTGATCACAGGCAGAGGTGGCTGGTGGGGGCCCAGCCACAGGCCCCCTTCTGCCTGATTGGTGGGGTGGTGGGAAGGGGCGTGGGCTGCGTGCCAGCCATCCAATCATTTGGGGGCGTGCCCATGCCAGCCCCCCCCCACTGGCACAGAGGTGGGGAGCAGGCTCTCTGAGGAGGCCTCTTGGCGGGGGCGGGGGGGCTGCTCCTGGCCTTGGCCTCCTCCCACACAGCCCCCTCCCCAGGCAGGACCTTCCTCCGTTGGGCTTCATTGTGTCCTTCCTGCCCGCCCCTCCCCGGCATTGGGGTGATGCCATCTCCTCCTATCTGGTGCCCGCCCCTCCCTCTTGGCAAAGGCCGGTGCAGAGGCCAGGTGGAGGCAACGGGGGGGGGGGGGGGGCGCCTGTGCCTGATGCGGAGATACCTCGACTTGCCATCTTATTTATAATTAACTAATCCTAAAGTCAGTTGTACAAGACAAGAAAATGAGGCTCCTCGTTGCAGAGACGCTGGTATTTAAAGATGTTAATGTGCTAAAACTCCCACTCCTGTTGGAGGGAGGGAGGGAGGGAGGGAGGGAGGGAGGGGAGATGCCTCACGTGGAGAAAAGGCTGGCTGGTGGGGCCCGGCTGAGCGGAGGAGCCCCCGTGGGCCTGCAGGAGGTCCCGGGATGGGATGGGGAGGCTCCGTAATGGGGTTCCTGGCCTGCCCAGCCCTTCATGGAATTATACCATTAGTGGGAACGTGGAGCTGTAAGAATCGGCTTTACCTTTCTAATTGGATTCTAGTATAATTATGGGATCCTGGGAAGGACTTTTCCCCCTCCCCCCCAGGGCCCCGCAGCCGGCGTCCTGGCGCTGCCCCCGGAGGGACCAGCTAGGCTCCTTGGGGCCAAACCTCGCCTGTCTTTCGGGCACCTGGCTTGGCAGGAGAGGGGAGAGCAGGTTGGCTGCTGGGCTTTGGTCAACGACCCTCCGTTCCAGGGCGTTAAGCAGTGCAGGCATCTCACACACACACACACCCCCCACTGGAAGTTTGAAGGTTTGTTAGATGTCGGAAGTGAGCAGGTGGTTGGACTAGATGCCCTCTGAGATCCCACCCAAGCCATAGGTGAAGGGAGGAAGAGAAGATGAACCAGCTGACTTGTCCCTCCCACCTCTGAGGCTGCTCTGGGGGGGGGGGGCTTCCATGCCCCCATTTCTCAGCGGGGGCGCTTGTTTCCTGCCCCAGCTGTGCCCAGAGAGAGAGCAGGCCCTGGAATGAATGCCACCCTGTCGTTCCCCCCTCCCCCCGCATTGGGGTGGGGGCCTAACATTTGCAGGCAGCACACCCCCCCCCCGCCCTTCTGCTGCAGAGGGGGCTCTGGAGGAGATCCCCCCCCCCCGGTGGCCTTGCCC